CCCCCCCAGACCTCCCCCTACAGGGGGGGTCCCAGGGGTGTGGGGGGTGTTCTGGGGGGTCCCTCCCCCCCCAGTCTCACCACTGCTGTGAACTGGTGGAAGTCGGGGCGCAGGTCGCTGCCGCGCAGGTGGATGTAGGAGCCCTTGTTCCCCATCTGGTCACTGGGGGGCACGGGGGGACACGTGGGGACACTTGGGGACACCTGGGGACTCTTGGGGACACGTGGGGACACCTGGGGACACTTAGGGACTCTTGGGGACACCTGGGGACTCTTGGGGAGACTTGGGGACACCTGGGGATACTTGGGGACACTTGGGGACTCTTGGGGAGACTTAGGGAAACGTGGGGACACCTGGGGACTCGTGGGGACACGTGGGGACTCGTGAGGACACTTGGGGAAACGTGGGGACACCTGGGGACACATGGGGACTCTTGGGGACACCAAAGCAGGACCCCCGAGGACCTGGGGACTCATGGGGACACTTGGGGACACCAGAGCAGGACCCCGAGGACATGGGGACACTTGGGGACACCAGAGCAGGACCCCGAGGACATGGGGACACTTGGGGACACTTGAGGACACCAGAGCAGGACCCCCAAGGACATAGTGACACTTGGGGACACCTGGGGACACCAGAGCAGGACCCCCAAGGACATGGGGACACCAGAGCAGGACCCCTGGGGACATGGGGACACTTGGGGAAACGTGGGGACACCTGGGGACACTTGGGGACACCAGAGCAGGGCCACCACCACAGGGACAGGGAGGTTTGGGGACCCACAGAGGAGGTGGGGACACTTAGGGACAAGCCTGAGGTGACAGTTTGGCTCAGGGGCCACTTGGGGACCTGGCTCAGGGGACAAGGTGGCTCAGGGGACACTTGGGGACCTGGCCCAGGGGACAAGGTGGCTCAGGGGACACCTGGGGACCAAGTGGAGGTGACAAAGCTCCTTGGGAGCCACCAGAGGCCACAGCTGAGGTGTCACCAAGGCCTCAGTTGTCCTGGGGTGCCAAGACAAAGGGGTGACACTTGGGGACCAAGCTGAGAGTGGCTCAGGGGCCACTTGGGGACCTGGCTCAGGGGACAAGGTGGCTCAGGGGCCACTTGAGGACCAAGCTGAGGTGACAAAGCTCCTCAGGAGCCACCAGAGACCACCAATGACCCGCTGCTCCAGGGCCAGGTGCCACCTCCCCCCCCGGGTGACCCCAGCTGCCACCTACCAGTAGTTGGGGGCAGAGAAGACGGTGACACACTTGCCATCGTGGGCCACCTCGTAGCCCTCGGCCTTGACCTCGTGGCTGCGGATGATGTAGTCCAGCTGGTTGCTCTCCAGGAAGCTCTTGGTGACATCAGGCCCAAACTGGCAGCTGACCCCCCTCTTGCTGACCGAGCGGCCGTTCTGGGGGGGCAGGGTCACCTGGGGGCTCTGGGGACACCCGGGGGGTCCCCAAGGGGTCCCCAGGGCTGGGAGGAGCCGTGGAGGGTTGGGGACAAGGTGCTGGGTGAGGGACACGTGGTTTGGGGGGGTCACCAAAGGAGGGGTCACCAAGGGCTCAGTTGAACCAGGGTGACCAGACACTTGGGGACCATCTGAGGTGACACCTGGGGACCATCTGAAGTGACACTTGGGGACCATCTGAGGTGACACTTGGGGAACAACCTGAAGTGACACCTGGGGACCATATGAGGTGACACTTGGGGAACAACCTGAAGTGACACTTGGGGACCATCTGAGGTGACACTTGGGGACCAACCTGAGGTGACACTTGGGGACCATCTGAGGTGACACTTGGGGACCAACCTGAGGTGACACCTGGGGACCAACCTGAGGTGACAACACGACACTCAGGGACACTTGAGGACCAAGCTGGTTTTGGGGGTCACCAAAGGGCTTGGAGCAGAGGAGGTCACTGTCACCAAGGACCTCTGGGGACACCTGGGGGGTCCCCAGGGCTGGGAGGAGCCATTGAGTGTTGGGGACAAGGTGCTGGGTGAGGGACACGTGGTTTGGGGGGGTCACCAAAGGGATTGGACTCACCTGGGGTTGGGGGTCGGACCACAGGAGGTCACACATGGGACCTGGGGGACAACAAAAGGAGGTGAGGGTGGCCAGGAGGGGACAGGTGGCCCCGGGGGGGGCAGGGCTGGGGACACGTCCCACCTGAGTCGGGGGGTTGGCGGTTCCGCTCGATCCGGCGGATGTCGTCGAGGGTGACGCCGTCCTCGCTGAACAGCCCCCCGTGCATGATCTGGGGACAGGGGGGACACGGGGCTCAGGGGGGTGACAAGGGCAGGTGGGGACAGTGGGGGGGTACGTGGGGACATGGGGACGTGGTGGGGACAAGGGGGACAGTGGAGACACGTAGGGACACGGTGAGGACATGATGGGGACACATGGGGACAATGGAGGTGACAGGGGCACATGGGGGGACAGTGGAGACACGATGAGGACACGATGGGGACGTGGGGGCAACAGAAACACGTGGGACAAGGGGAGAGGGGGGCACGTGGGGCAATGGGGACACAATGGGGACCATGGGGACAACAAGGACAGTGGCAGTGTCCCCTTCACCACCACCCAACAGGGTGTCCCCAGACCCACCCTGGGGATCACACCGGGGTCAGGGCCACCCCAGGGACCAGGCAGGGGACAGAGGGGACAGGACCACCTTGAGGACTAGGTTGGGGACAGAGGGGACAGGCTGGGGACAGAGGGGACAGGCTGGGGACAGAGCCACCCCTGGGGACCAGGCAGGGGACAGAGGGGACAGGCTGGGGACAGAGGGGCCAGGCTGGGGACAGAGGGGCCAGGCTGGGACCAGAGCCACCCCTGGGGACCAGGCAGGGGACAGAGGGGACAGTGTCCCCTCATCAGCCCCCAACAGGGCCCTTCCCAAGCTGGGGTTGGGCACAGAAGAGCTGAGTTAGGGACAGGGCCACCTTGGTGACAAGAGTGGGTCCCCAGGGGCCAGGCTAGGGTCAGAGCCACCCAGGCTGGGGTCAGAGCCACCCTTGGGGACCAGGCAGGGGACAGGGCAGGGTCCCCTCACCAGCACTTTCCCGTTGATGCACTGGGCCAGCGGGAGCCACTCGAAGACCTCACTGAAGAGCGCGAACATCTGGGCCGTGTACTTGGCCTTCACCTCCCCCTCGAAGCCGTACATCTGGTTCATGTTGTCGGTCTCGTGGTTCCCTGGGGGGACACGTGCCCACCCCCCCGAGGGGGGGTCAGTGCCACCCCTGGGGGACACACCCAGAGGGGGACAAACCCCCCCGTGGTTCAGCCCCGAGGAGGTCGGATCCACCATCCGGGTTCCTCCATCCAGGTTCTTCCTCCAGGGATGGAGGTGACAAGTGGTGAGATCTCCCAGCAGGACGTGAGATGGGGCCTCCCAAGGGTGGAGGGGACAAGGATTTGTCCCCAGTGGTGGCCTCCTTACCTCGGAGAAGGTGGAAGTGGTCGGGGTAGAGAAGCTTGAACCCGAAGAGCGGCAAGATGACCTCGACTGAGAAGGACCCTCGATCCACAAAGTCCCCGTTGAAGATCTGCCACCAGCTGAGGAAAACCCCTCCCCCGGGTGTCCCCAACTGTCCCCCCAACATGCCACCCATCCCCTCAAGTCTGTCCCCACCAGGGTGGTGGCACAGATGGTGGCTGGAGGTTGGTTGGACCTCCTGGTGGATACGTAAGGGTTGGACTCGGAGGGGAGACCGTTGAGCTCAAAGATGTTCAGGAGGTCGTAGAACTGTCCGTGGGTGTCACCACACACTGTCACCTTCTCTGTCTGCATGGGAGGGGACAGTGTCACTCCTGGGAACACCCCCACCTTGATGGGGACACCCCCACCTTGGGGGGGACACCCCCACCTTGATGGGGACACCCCCACCTTCACGGGGGCCCAACGTGGAGCACCCACCTCCTTCAACGTGGTTTCTACCAAGGTTGGGAGCTTGGCCAGAACCTCCTTCACCTGCACCAGGATCTGCAAGGTGACCAAAAAGCCACCAGAGGTGACAAAGAGAAGGGACGTTGTGCCATGTGGGGACAAGGGGACAGGCTGGGGGGACACCAGGGGGGTACCTGGTAGGCGCATTTTCTGTGGAGCTTCTTCTGCTCCTTGTACCACTGCATCAGGTCCTTCATGAAGGTCAAGGTCACTTTGCCATCCTCCAGCTTGGGGCCACTGTACTCGTCCTCAATGGCTGCAAATCAACCCCCCCCACCCCCAAGGTGGTTGGTGACACGAGGGGACAAGTGGCCTGAGGGCCATCGTGCCCCTGAGGAACTTCAGGGGACCTTCACGGGGACACCAAAGCTGTGAGATCCTCATGGGGACATCAAGAGCATCAAGGGAACACCAGGAGCCTCATGGGGGGACCCTCAGGAGGACACAAAGACCTTCAAGGGGACACCAAATCCATCATGGGACCTTGAAACCCTCATGGGGACCCTGAGACCCTTATGGGTCATCCCCCCCCAGAGATCCCCAGGATCCTCCCAAGGAACCTCCAGGACCCTCTGGAGACACCCAACATCCTCTAAAATCCTCAGGAGACCCCAAAGATGCTTCCAAGGATCCTCCCAAGACCCCTCAGGATCCTCCAAGACCCTCAGGAGACCCCAAGGAACCTCCCAAGGAACCTCCAAGACCCTCTGTAGACACCCAACATCCTCCAAAATCCTCAGGAGACCCCAAAGATGCTTCCAAGGATCCTCTTAAGACCCTCAGGATCCTCCAAGACCCTCAGGATCCCCTCAAGGAACCTCCACCACCCCCCAAGGCCACCTCAAAACCTTCCCACCACCCTCCAAACCCCCCCGAGATGACCCCAAACCATCTCCAGAGAGGACACTAAGGTCTGGCAGGGCTTTTGGGGGGCCAGGAGGACCACGAGGTGGCCCAGGGTGGTCCTCACTCATGCTCTCAATGTCCAAGGTGTCCACCACGGAGCGTTTGTGCTCGTCCGTGGCGATGGCGCGTTCGAAGGCCTTTTGCTTGACAATCTTGTGACACTCCTGGTACTTCATCTTGGCGTCCTTGTCGTTGGGCCTGACCTTCACCACCTGGGGAGGGGACACACGTGGGGACATGGGGACACCATCCTGGGTCACCCTGAGGCCACCCAAGGTCAACAACCCACCCCCAGAAGAGGGGATGTGGAGCTTGGTGGCCTCGACCTTCACCACCTTCTGGGGGTGGGGGACATTTGGCAGGGACACCAACCTTGGTGCCATCTCAAGGGGCCACCCAAGGTCAACAAACCACTGCCCCAGAGGGGTCATGGACCCTTGGTGGCCTTGTCATGGGCCTGACCTTCACCTCCTGGGGAGGGAACACACGTGGGGACACAGGGACACCATCCTTGGTCACCCTGAGGCCACCCAAGTTCATCAACCTGCTCCCAGAACAGGGGACATGGAGCTTGGTGGCCTCATCATGGACCCTTGGTGGCCTTGTCATGGGCCTGACCTTCACCACCTGGGGAGGGGACACGGGTGGGGACATGGGGACACCATCCTGGGTCACCCTGAGGCCACCCAAGTTCATCAACCTGCTCCCAGAAGAGGGGATGTGGAGCTTGGTGGCCTCATCATGGACCCTTGGTGGCCTTGTCATGGACCTGACCTTCACCACCTGGGGAGGGGACACACGTGGGGACATGGGGACACCATCCTTGGTCACCTCGAGGGGCCATGGGGCCACCCAAAGTTCACCTTGAAGCCACCCAAGGTCAACAACCCACCCCCAGAAGAGGGGACATGGAGCTTTGTGGCCTCGTCATGGACCCTTGGTGGCCTTGTCATGGGCCTGACCTTCACCACCTGGGGAGGGAACAAAGGTGGGGACATGGGGACACCATCCTGGGTCACCTCGAGGGGCAACAGGGCCACGTGGCAACACCAAGACCTTCACAGGGACCCTGATGGAGACCTTGAAACCCCCGTGAGGACATCAGGACCCTCATGGGGACTCACCAGAGACCCCCAGGATCCTCCCAAGGGACTTTCAAGCTCCTCAGAAGACCCCCAGGGTCCTCTCAAGTTACCTCCAAGACCCTCAGGAGCCCTCCAGGGATCTCACAACACCTTCAGAAGACCCTCAGCATCCCCCAAGATCCCCAGGACCCTCTCAAGGCACCTCCAAGCCCCTCAAGACCATCTCGAGACCCTCACGATCCTCTCAAGAGACCTCTGAGACCCTCAGGAGAAACACAGAGGCCTTCCAAGGGACCTCCAAGCCCCTCAGGAGACCACCAGAACCCATCAAAAGCACCTCCAAGACCCTCAGGAGAACCCCAGAGACCTCCAGGGTCCTGCCACTCACCATCTCATAGTCCTTGAGGGCAGCCTTGAACTTGCCCAGGGCCATGTAGCTGGCTGCCCGCCGGTAGTAGCCCTTGAGGTACTTGGTCCTCCCATGGGACCTCCAAGTCCCTCAGGAGACCACCAGAACCCACCAAAAGCACCTCCAAGACCCTCAGGAGAACCCCAGAGACCTCCAGGGTCCTGCCAAGGAACCACCAAACTCCTCAGGCTCCTCCAAGCCCCTCAGGAGAACCTCAGAGACCTCCAGGGTCCTCCTAAGCCCCTCAGAAGTCTCCCAGGATCCTTCCAAGTGATGTCCAAGCCCCTCAAGGCCACCCTCAAGACCATCAGGATCCTTTCAAGTCACATCCAAGCCCTTCAGGAGAACCCCAGAGATCTCCAAGACTCTCAAGGAGAACCTCCAGCATCCTCCAAGACCCCCAAGATCCTCTCAAGGGACATCCAAGACCCTCAGGAGAACCCCAGAGACCT